AGAAAGAAAAGCTCTATAAATTGCAGCTGAAGGTAGCATACAAATACGCCAGTTTGCCAGTTAAAGTGGTCTTAACAGCAAGCATGAAGACAGTCAATGTTAGGCAATTATTGTTATGTGTAGTGTGTTATAAATGTTTCTAAGTGACTGGCAAGGAGGAAAAAAGATCTGTAACCTCAGGATTCTTTTGGATTCTTTCTGCCAGGAGCCCAGGGATCCCTGCAGTTGTGCAAGCCAATAAAACTTGCTTCATCTATCTCCAAACATTTTATTTATGTTTATAAATAAACATAAAAGTATTTATAAATACTTTTATAAATACCAATACTTTTCTACAAGTAGTTTAATGGCTTAGGCACTAAGAAATGTTATTAATTTTCAGGTTAGATATAAAGTCAAATTATGCAGGTTTGTATGTGCTATATTTGGATATGATTCAGGCATGTAATATATCAAAGGATAAAACAATATATAGCAGTCTAGGTTTTTAAAAAAAGAAAATTCTTCTGAGTGCAAAATTGCCACCCGCCACAATTCCTCTCAGAGGAAATATCTTCTTTAATTAAGGAGATTGTTCCATTTGCCATTATTTGTATGGGGAAATCATACTGTCGTATTTCCTTGACTATGATAAAAATAATGCTTTTAGATTTTTTTAAAAAATATGTTTTTTGCAAGTTTGGGAAGACAAGATATTTATTGGACTTAGAACAATCCTTTCCCAACATGACACATGTATATTCATTGGGATTTCCATTCCCAGAATTCCAGAACATATCTACAATGGCAGGAACTCTGAGAACTGCAGTCCCAATATATTTCAAGGCTCCAAAGTTAAGAATAACATGTTATACATATAGCAATAGCAACATCACTTAGACTTATATATCGCTTTACAGGGCTTTACAGCCCTCTCTAAACGGTTTACAGAGTCAGCATATTGCCCCCAACAATCTGGGTCCTCCTTTTACCAACCTTGGAAGGATGGAAGGCTGAATCTGGTGAGATTTGGACTGCCAAATTGTAGGCAGCTGGTGCTCGGCAGAAGTAGCCTGCAGTACTGCATTCTAACCACTGCACAACCGCGGCTCAAGTAGTTCTCAGCTTATGATTACAATTGGGACCAGAACTTTCATCAGTAAGAAAGTGGTTGTTAAGTGAATCACATCCAGTTTCTGCTACAGTTATTAAGCAAATTACCACAGTCATTAAATCAATCACACAGTTGTTAAGCGAATTGGGCTTCAGCCATTAGCTTTATTTGTCAGAAATCCCATGTGATAACATGACCCCAGGATGCAGCAACTACGTTTTGGACTTACATGCAAATTGCCAAGCTCCCAAATTGTAATCATGTGACCACATGGGGATACCACAATGGTGACAAATGTGAGAATGGATCATAAGTTACTTTTTTTTTTTTAGCAGCATCATAACTTTAAATGGATGGTCATAAGTCTAGGATTTCCTATATTCTCTTTTGGAGAAATCTATTGCTTTGGGGAAGGACAATGGGCAAATAGCCAAATCCAGAATATTTTGATACTTTAGGATCTTATTTGATGATCGGTTGAAATATTACAAAAAACAGACTCTTTTTCTTGGATGACAATGAAAAGAGGTTCTGTGTTTTGCCTAAGTAAGGGGTTATTATGCAGGGCAGGCCACAGAGGACTGGAACTCTTCTCTCCTGCTGTTCAAGTTGCCCTAACTTTATAATTTGACCTCCATTAAATTACAGGACCAAATTGAAACACCTTTTCTGAAAGAATGATTTGAGCTTTTGTTTATTTTTGGCAATTGAATTATCCTTGCAGGCTGAGAAAGTATAGAAGATTAAATACCAAAGAAGTCCTAAGAGCCACAACTCTGAGCACAAAATGCCAGCCATTTAAAAATTACAAAGACAGCATATAATTTGCACAGTTGGTAAGATAGAAAGGCTCAATATTGTAACAGGAGTGGGTTTACCAGTCAGAGTTTCACCCTGACGCTACATTATTCTTTTTTCACTTCTTTCACAAATCTGAAGAATAGAAAATAACTACCTTGCTGTTATATTCTCTCAGACTTCACATTGAAGAATTCCCCTGCCTTGTTAATTTAATTTTTAAGGGGACCAGATAATCTTCATTTGTACCTGCAACATTTTTTCACTAATATTTCTTTCATTCTTTCCCAATGATAATCTTTCAGGAGGGGGGTGGGGAAATGCAGGTTAACAATAACAACTTTTCATTTAACAAATGAATCATATTGTGCCTTAATCTGATTTTTACAGAAAGAAAAGATAAGGGCTAGACACTGACAAACATTTGAACTATAAAATATCAGACCACATTTTAGACTCATCTATCCACAGAATAACACTAGGAATATTATCTGAAAATGTCAGACATTTAGTAAAGAGTTATATTTTTCTGAATCTTGTATGTTTTTCTCAAAATTCAAAGATGATGGTATTTACACTTGCAGTGAGAAAGATAGATTTCATTTCCCCCTTTTCAGACCAAGCTCAGAATCTTTCTCCTTCTCTACATTGGCATAAATTATACTAGCATGAAATTTCCTCTCCTTATTGCTAATCCCTATCTTGACTCTTCCGAGTCCCTTCTGTCACTGGACTCTCCTCCTAAGTTACAGATAACAAAGCATAACCAATTTTATTTACCTTGTAGATGTCATTAGGCACTGTCAGCTTCAGGGGCAAAAGACAAATACCAATACACCTAAGAATGATTTAAGCCTTTCTCATTCATGTACCAGAAAGGAGATTAAGGTACTCTTACGGGGATATGGAAATATATATATGTAGGTCTTTGGTTATTCAGGTTTTCTCCCACGTAAAATTGGAGGTTTCTTGGCAACATTGCCAAGAAACCTCCAATTTTACGCGGGAGAAAACCCGAATAACCAAAGACCTACATACAAACACCCGCGAAAACCTCAGAAAACATATATATATATATATATATTCCAGGGCATTTTTACGCCATGTTTAAGTACTATAATGGCTGCTAAAACTTGAATATTTATTCATATACTCCACTGGAAATATAGGTATATCAAATACATATCTCTTCCACAGGCCAATTCTGGATGGAATTTAAAGCAAGGTAATGTAAATAATATTGAATGCCATAATGAGTAAAAGCTCTCCCAAAGTAGATCAACACCTTCAGACATGTAAATATCACATTTTAGAAAGATAGATGCTATTTGAATTGCATCCTTTTATCTTCCAGAGCAAATTTTGAAAAAAATAGGCCTATAATTCGCAATACTGGTTAAGATGTATCATCATGACTATAATGTAGCATTCTCCACAAAGTATGTTTTACTGAATTTAATAGGATTTTAGCTTTTTAAAATATATCATAAATGACTCTACACATCACTAGGAACTCATTTTCCAAGTATTTTAAAAGTAGTTGCAGGAATTCTTTTAAATAAAGTGAGGCAGAACATATAGATAAATGAATACTGATGGACCACTTTTACAAATAATTATATGTTTGGTAGTCCAATAAAGCTAAAGCATGCAGTGGAAAAAACAGAGAGGAACCTATGGAGGAAATTATTTTGATTTGCTGGGCTCTTTAAACGTAATGTTTATTATATTTTACACTTTGCCCTACAAACAACCAACATGATGGCTGGGTCACACCACCCCTTTCTGTAAACCATACTTTCTGCCAGATAAAGCAGCTAGAATAAGATCTTTCCCAATTGTTAAAATACCGTGTTTCCCCGAAAATAAGACCCTGTTTTATATTTTTGAACCCTGAAATAAGCGCTTGGCCTTATTTTCGGGAAGGTCTTATTATTTTGGGGCACATGGAGCAAGATGGGGATCCTCTTGCTCCATTACCTGATTTCCAGCTCTGTGCTTAAATATTTTCAGGGAGGGCTTATTTTCAGGGGGAGGCTTATTTTAGCTCATGCGCTCAAAAGTCCGATTGGGCTTATTATCAGGGGATGTCTTATTTTCAGGGAAACAGGGTATATAGATTTCTTCACAACAAACCTATAGAACTGTAGGCAGCTACTTTCTTTAATGTGTGAGATTTCCATTACAAAGCAAGGAAGTTGAAATACCACTACTCTTGTTTCTTTCTTATTTTTTTTTAAGAGACCATTCTTCCTTTTACACTATAAAGCTGTCTTGTTACTAATTTTGAAATGGGCTGAGCTGAAGGCCTATAGAGATTTTTTTTTTCTTGCCACATATATACATAATATAGTCTCACTTCAGTTTCACAAAGAAATTCAGTATTTCAATTTCTGTTCTCCCTAATTTTACTTATATTAACCATATCTATTGCACTGGACAAAAAAATAGTATCAATGTGCTAACTAAATTTCATTTATTAAATTAATATCCATAAGCATATATATGTGATATTACGTATCTCATTTTTTCTGCAACACAGAGGCAAGACTTTCATGCTGGTCAGTGCAAATGGTCTTCCTTTTATCATATTGTGATAACAAAAACCCCATTCTGTTCCCATTGTTTCATTTTTCGTATGATGATTTTCTACATTTTATGATCTATCTGCAGTGGCAAATTGAGGATGATGGAGATAGATGTCAGTTAGTCTTTTTAAAAACCCTCTATTTTTCTTCCATTAATGTATTTCTTCCATGTGCTATATTAGTAGTGTCCTAGTAGGTAATTGATAATAGTGATGTATAGAGATTAAGTTATTAGTTAAGCTAATTGGCAGCTGTTAATATAGGTCTAGCTAATTCTTCATCCTCATTTAGGCCAAGAGCTAATTGTGAATGCTGCTTACCAAGAATTCATTCATTCCCTAAGTTTTATAGGTTGCAATCAGAAAGGACTGTAAATGGCTGTCATTCCCATTTTAAAACAGGTTTAACATACAAAGTATAATAAAATAATTATTCCATTAGTTCTTCTGTGGAAACAGATTCTACATATTACCTTTCTTATTTTCTCATTGTATCTTTTGTTACATTTTCTTTTTCGGTAGATCCCTGTCTGGACGCATAGTTGGTGGAGTTTGGTGGTTTTTTACTTTGATCATCATTTCATCTTACACAGCCAATTTAGCTGCATTTTTAACAGTAGAGAGGATGGTGTCTCCCATAGAGAGCGCAGAAGACTTGGCCAAGCAAACAGAGATTACTTATGGGACTTTGGATGCTGGTTCTACTAAAGAATTCTTTCGGGTAAGAGAAATTAGTTCTGATTTTCATGTACAAAAGCAAGACTCGTGCTAGCCCAGGAAATATAGCCCATCTGCCAGATACCATAAATACCCTTGAAACATGTAGTAATTATACGCTTCCACAGATTACTGAGTAATTACACTTAGCAGCATCAAAAGTAATTACCCTGTGACTTGTAGCTCAGGTTTAGAGAATAATGAATACTTAGTTAGCTCTGTAATTTAATGGCACCATTTACAATATGCAAATATATTTAAGTTATTCAACAGTGGCTTACATACCAAGCCACCAAAAGTACACTTCTTTTCTGTGGTCTAGTGTCTTCTGTCTCTCACTTCTCTCTAATGTTTTCTTCAGTTTTCCTGCTCAAGTTTGTGGACTGCAGTACTGCTTTTATTCTCAGTCCGATGAGTTTGACTAATATGGAGTCAGACTATTTCTGTGTTGTCTATTCCAAGTGGCAGTTGTTTTCCAGAAGGCTTTCCTATCCCAATATCCTTTAAACAGCAGAGATTTGAGGAATTCAAATTGAGACACCTGGTTTGCATGCTTTCCGTTTTGCCACTAAATTACATTTCCTTTTTAGGATTAGAATTTAGCAAATGTGCTACCACTTCCAGCATAATTCCTAGAATCTGGCTTTCACAAAAGCTTTTAAGTTTTAAATTACTTTTTCTTCTATCTCCCTTCTGCTTGAGGTAATTTTTATTCCATAAAATGTGCCAATGTGAATGGCACCAATTCATACAATCCATCCATTTCTCTGTTCACCTCTATAAACCAGCCCCTAATTTGAGTAATATCCTTTCTTTAGCTGTGCACCGTGTAGGCACACACAGCCCAACAAATTTGTGTCTTCCTTGGTGTATGAATCTCTGCTCTGTGTATTAACGCATGCTAAGAGCAGCGGATTTATGCTATTCTGGACAGAGATCTAAAATAGCGGTTTTTGAGAAGATGTGGACGTACATGAAGTCAGCTGAGCCCTCTGTTTTCGTGCCGACAACAGAAGAGGGGATGAAGCGTGTGAGGAGATCCAAAGGGAAGTATGCCTACCTGCTAGAGTCCACCATGAATGAGTACATTGAACAGAGAAAACCATGTGACACCATGAAGGTGGGAGGTAACTTGGATTCCAAAGGCTATGGCATTGCAACGCCAAAAGGTTCACCGCTGAGGTAGGTAGATTGAATGTGTTGCTTCTTTCCCTTCATCCCCAGCAGTTGATGCATCCATAAACATGCTGCTAATTTTCATTACCACAGTATAGCTAATAAAACTGGGGGAGGAAGGAAAATGAAAAAGTAATTATGAGCAGGGAAGTTTTCTGCCAGACTGCTTCTAAATGGTGATAGGACTTCCAGGATTCCTGAATGCTGTAGCCTCATTCCTATATTTGTTTCCTTGCTAAATGGGCCCAAACTGTAAGAAAAAAAGAAATTTGTGACAACCTGGCTATTGCTTAATGGGGCATTATTTTGAAATAATGTGATTGTTTTCAGGTGTGCATGCCAATCGTGTAATATCTATTATATCTCTTCTTTGGTTAAAGAGATTCTAGTATAAAAATATTTAGGTATGTGCATGTCTGAGCAAAGAAATATAAATCTATATAGGACAAGCTAAATGGAAAAGCTAAGTGTTTTCCTGCTAGGTAGACAACAAATGGATGAAAGGACAATTATCTCCATTAGTCACTGATAAAACCTAGTTAATAACATGTACTGTATGCAAAGGTTGCAAAAAAAGATGTTATGTTGTCCATAAAATTGTAGACAGAATGTAGCATCCACAATCATAGCATACAAAGTTGTTCAGCAAAAGAAAAGATTACAAGAATCCACCAGCCACCAAGACAGAAAAGACAATAGAAAAGACAATAGCTATGCTATTGTAGATGGGATTACATAGAAGCTAGGGTTGCAGGAATCCACCAGCACTTTAGATATGTAAAGAACACATATCTATTATTCACAAAATATAATAATATAACAAATATGTTTGGATTTTCTCACTACAACCACTACTTGGTGGGGGAAAGACAAGAACTGCTAGAAAAAAAATCAAGGTATAGATAAGAGCCTGGAGATTGAACAAAGAACAAAATAGCCAGATATGATTTGCAATGTTCATTTTCAATGTAAATCCTAAATGTATATTAAAATATTTTCTTTTTTCTTTAAAGATGCAAACACACATAGTATACCCAACCACAGAAAGAGAGAGAGAAAGAGAGAGACAAATTCTACTGTTGATTTCATCTTCTTTTTCAAAATGTCCTTCTGATATGTCAATAGAGTGGGACAGAAGAATAAGTTAGACATATTTGTTCTTGATTTACTTTCCAGTTCAATAGAAGCAACCAGGAGGGAACATTTTGCTTTTCCATTGGATCTAATGGTGCTTTTTTTATACATATGGCCTCAGTTTCTGTCTCATTATGTTTGTTATTTGTGGTCATTTTAACTGTTTATCTAATGCTATATGCTCTTCAGACAACTTCTGGCATCTATTCCACTATCTGGAAATCATGAAAAATTGCATCTTATTTTGTGACTGACTGAGTGTTCCATCCAAAGTCAGTATAAATTTAACCATTGAAGTCAATCGGATCATAATATTATATGTAAGGTATCCATTTTACAAACGATTTCCCAGATGTGATGGATCATTTGGGCAGAATCTTTGGACATCAGTGATTATTGATTTCAGGTCCTTCTCACATTTCTAACTAGTTTATATTAAATACTGTAATGTCCCATCATAGTATAATGTTTAAGTGCAAATTATTAATTAATTAAATTAATGAGTTAACATCTGAAGACTTAATTTCAAATTGGAACCATGAGAAATCATACAAGTCAATATATGACTCTGTTGTCTTCATCCAGTATGAAAACAATGGGCATATCTAACATGGGAAGAGGCTGAAATAATGTATCTAATTCTATGGAAACTGATCCATAGCATCCTAGATGAAACCAAAACTATCAAAGAGTAGCTGCATATTAAAATCTTCACTGACTACTCCCATCATTGCAACCTCTTGGACTGCAATGTGTTCGGATTGTTTGGTCAGTGCCATTTTTCCTCAAACTATCCTGGGAAATGCCTATTGTTGAAGCATTATACTGATTCCCAACTTTTATGTCATCACAAGCTACTGTTCTAGATTAAGGACTGATCAGGCTGCATGAAATTTATGGATAATTCTGTACCTGCT